GGGGGGTGTGTGTGGTTTATATCCACTTTACCAGATACACTAATGCATGCTCTTCTTCATGCACATCTTACCTTCACAGGGTTTATCGTTTAGAAGCTTGAAAGCAGTTTCTTTGGTGAAAGGAGAAAAAGCTGGCGACGCTATGTAATAATATGAAGAGTTGAATTGAGCCTCTGTCTCATTACAAACCACTGGACCTCGCTGCTTTGCTTTAAAAACACCTACAAAAGAATTTGACCTCTGGATGAAACCTGGTTTTCATACAGCAGTGATATTTAAATTGTTCGTAAAGTACATGTTGTTCTTACAGTTTGAGACGCTGCGACGGCTCTTTGCAAATTGAAAAGGAGAAATCCCTTTAAAATTGAACCCTTTCAGTGCCGCTGGATTTACATAATGTGAAATATACCAGAAGTGGGTCACGCCACATTTCAATAATTTCACACGTGCGCTAGTTAATCCCAGACGGGTCGTTATTTATTTTTAATCAGATTTTAAAAGCAGTTAATGTTCACGTTGAAAGGGAGAGGGTCCGGTGGGACTTTGAGGGATTCAAAAACAACATCAAAGAGAAATATAGATTAACATGTCTGACACCTTCCTCTGTTTCAGATGATACCAAGATCGCACTGCACCTCAGAGACAACCAGGGTAAGTGTGTGTGTGTGTGTGTGTGTGTGTGTCTGTGTGTGTCTGTGTGTGTGTGTGTGTGTGTGTTTGAAAGAGTGTGTGTGTGTGTGTGTTGCACCAAGTTTGAATATTAACCACTGTGGGTCTGATCTGCTGATTATTTTTCTTGCAGGAAATGGAAAGTTCATTGACTTCACCTGCTGGAAACCTCAGGCTTTCGTCTGCTCCTATTAATGGATATACAGACACACCTCATATCTTATCTAGTCTCTTGCTGATATGATGAAGAGTTTGCTACCTTTTCCTTGAGTTTAAAATCATATCTTGGGAATACAATGGACTGAATGAAAGAACCATAATAACAATTATTGAATAAAACTGGAAAATCAGGACTTGGGAGCATGTTGTATATTATATTCAATATTTGTTTTTTGATAACAAGCTATACCCTGTAAATAAAACACCATAATGTGTTATTTTTGAGTTGAATTATGTATCATTTAAGTGTATTTAAATGTGTCTCCTAGGTAGGCTACCAAGATAATTAGACATACTTATTTACATTCAATTTCACTAATCTCACACACACACACACACACACACACACACACACACACACACACACACACACACACACACACCACCCTCGTGTTCTGTGTGCTGCAGATCAAAGATTGGCTGTAGCTGTTAATTAAAGCCGGGGGCCTTGATAGATGAAAACAGACATTAGAGATGTCCCGCCCCCTTTAGCCCCCTTTAGCCTATCATATGTACAATGTGTTGGAGCGCTAGCCAATAGGAGCGTTCTGTAGTGATGTGATGATTTTCCAGACATGATGAAATAATAGTTTTTTCGCTGCTCTCATCTGAAGTCGACTGGAGTTTGAATCTGACTTTAAAGAAGTCTCTGAAGGACAGACTCTGTTTCCTGTCCTGCCAGGAACTCACGCTGCTGACCTTGAGTCCAGTATTAACTCTCTACTCTTGTAGTTGTGCGAGAAATCTCATGAATACTTAAACAGACCTCAGGACAAACTATCACAGAGTTTAAAGAGTGACTTTGCTCTAAACAGTTCAGAAAAAGTCTCTAAAACTATGAAATCCAGTGAAATAAAATAACCACGGCTGATTTACAATGGCACTGTTTCAAGTTCTGAAATCAATGTTTCCATGTTCGGACATTCAGCTAAAAGTTGGCATTAAGAAAGTCTAATTAAGTGCATTTTGGGGGATAAGTAAGACAGGAAAATGATGCTGAATGATGAGTGCCCCCTGCTGGTCAAACACAGAGCTGCAGCAGACAGAAGAAACATTTTGGTGCGCAGACCTGTAAGATAAATGTAAATACACACCATTTTCTGAACATATAGGTTCACCTGCTGAATTAAAAACAGAACAAATGAAGCAAAGAAAGTGAAAACCATGAAGCAGACTCAGGCAGTAGAAGTATAGATTCACACTGAGAGTATTATCCTACAGAACAGAACAGCTGACAGAGAAGAGAGAACATCTGATCCTTTACAACAAACACCACACGCTCTGTTAGCTTCTTAGTAACACTGTAATCCTGATAGAATTCCTTTTTGTTTTAATGTAACAGGAATCTGATTTGAGGCTGAGGGAACATTGGGTGTGTAAAAGCGGTGCTCTGGCTCCCCCTGGTGGTCAGAAGCTAGTACGACAACAACATCTTGAAAGAACACAAAAGCCATGTTTGGTATCATATACGCTGCAGAAGAAGAACTCACTGACACTGATATCTTAACCTATAATTAAATTACAATGTTTATTCATAAGTGGTTTATATCTAATAATCTGAATATGCAAAGTAATTAGAAAGTACAATATTGGCCCAGAAGTATTGTGGCATGAGATGAGATGTAGGGAAATGAGGATATGTTCAACCAGATATCTGATCCTTTTACAACAAACACTGTATGCTCTAACAGGGGATGTTTCTCTGTGTTTCAGCACTTCCTGCAGAGAGCTCAGTCGACAGGAAGTCCCCTCCTCTCCACACTGGTCTGATCCTTGGCATCCTATTGGTTACGCTGGTCATGGTGGGCGGAGTTCTGATCACCGTCTACGTTTACCACCACCCGACCTCCGCCGCCAGCCTCTTCCTCATCGAGGTGAGATTAACGCTTCAAAATGAAACTGGAGACACTAGAGACCTGGAGGAATGAGTCTGAAAACACGGGAATGAGTCAGCATTTTAAAAACACATTGACCTCCAGACCAGGGGACAGGAAGTGGGGAAACACCGACTCATTCATGGGTTTAAGGACTCTTTCCTGCACCACTTTATATACTATATTGTATATGCAAATAGTGGTGCATATTTACTGTTTACTTTTCAATTTTATATCACTTTTAGACCATGTGCAATGCTTTGTTCACATGCTACCAGAAATGTTCCAAAATCTGGACCGATAATCACATTTGGAGTGAATGCTGATAAATGACCTTTGAACTATTTAATAATTCCAGAAATATTAACCATAATTCATCAGCAGATTTCAGTGTACAGCATTCACACTGCAATTCTTTTCAAATTCCCTCCCCCCCCCACAGAGGCGTCCCAGCAGGTGGCCGGCGATGAAGTTTCGTCGTGGTTCGGGACACCCGGCGTACGCTGAGGTGGAGCCGGTGGGTCCAGAGAAGGAGATCTTCATGGAGTCCGATCAGTGCTGAGGGACGCCCCCCCCTCTCAGGATCTGAGAACAAAGACTCGTTCAGTCTGGAAGAACAGCCGGAAGTGAAACCTGAAACTGATCCCAGACCAGTGTGATGAACTGGGAACATGGGAGGGAATGGGGGAGGGGGGGGGGAGGGGCAGGTATTGTATAGACTGGACACTGTATGGTGGAGGGGAGCAGGGTGGTGAATTATACAAAAATATATTTTCAGAGATTTCAACCTGGTGGGGTTTGACTGTTTAGGCCTTTGTATTTCCATCCTTTCCCTTCATCGTGTTGTTTTCACAGAGGGAGGGGCACAGCAGGAGAAATTATGAACGGACTGTTCCACTGCAGAGAGGCTGAGAGGCTGGGGGGGATCAGTGGGACTGGGTTCATTTTAGTGGGAGATGGGTTTTTTTTTCTCAATGGGTGATGGGCACACTCTTTTCTACGGAGGGGGGCCACACAACTCAGCAGAATTCTGAGAAATGTCAGAATATGTCCGAAAAAAGTCTGAATTGTACGAGATAAGAAAAAGTGTATTGTGAAGAAAAAAAGGCAGAAAGGAAATTGGAATTCTGAAAAATTTCAGGAAAAAAAATCTGAATTTTGAGAAAAAGATTCTGATAAAAGTCAGAATTCTTGAGAGAACCAAATTGAAATTCTGTAATATGCCAGAAAAAAGTCGTAATTCTATGAACATTTTTTGAAATTCTGAGAAAGATGGTTGAAAAAGTTGGAATTCTGGAGAAAAATGATTGCAAAAAGTCGGAATTTCGAGAAAAAACTATTTATTTGGAAAAAAGAAAGTCGAAAAAAAAGTTGGGATTCTGAGAAAAAGATCTGAATTCTCAGAACGCGTAGAAAGAAAAGAACACGTGGCCCGAATCCTCCTCTGTGCTTTTCCCCGCATCATGGATACCATTTCTATTTTTTACTTTTTGCCGTTTCCTTCTCATCACTGCCGTCGCCATTTTGTCCCCGGCTAGAGTTTGCACTTTTATTTTCATTTCTTCATGTGGTTCTAATGCAAAAAGACAAGACAGGCGCTTGTGAGTGTGTGAATGCTGAGTGTATTTTCTAGAGTGTGTGTTCTGTGAGTGTGTGACTTTAAAGAAGAAGACAGTGCTTTATGGGTGAGTATTTTTGAGCACAGGTTTCTGATTCATCTGAAGAACAGAAAACAAACTGGTTTGGAGTTTTTGGGGGTGTGTTCCAACATCACATTAGTGTAAATACCGAGGCCAAAACATCAGATTCAGGAACTCATGTCGGACAGCAGTACAGAACTTTTTTATGTTTTATCAGTGGCCTTTCTTTCTCTACTTTTTTACTTAAATGGGATTCCCATCATCATCACGCAGACGTTCAGATCTACTGTTCAACTATCGTAAAACCAATGATTGAAGACTTAGAACCTGGACTTCTACTGAAAAATAAAGCGTGCAATATTAGCCTACACCCGTTTGGTTTGACACTGTAAATACAATTTAATTTTATATAAACAACTTGTTGTCATCACATTAAGACCAAAGACTAATCAGCATCTTGTTTTCAGATATTTACCTCAAGGCTTTCGCGAGAAAAACCATCAAATAACGACTTTTTTCAACTGTTTTTGTTTACGGTTAAGCACTAGCGATGATGATTTGACAGCTAACAATTAATTAATTAATATTAAAGACATTAAAATAACATTTGCACCCGATAACAACAGCTCCTTCTTCTTCCCCCAAATCTAGCATCTAGAAACTACCATCAATTTGCGCCACTGTACGCTACAAAACATTACCATAATTTACGTAGGCTACGAACTCGGGACAAACAGTGGGCAGAGTGGTGCAGGAATGAGTCCTAAAACCTAGCATTGAGTCAGCATTTTAGCGCCTCTTGTTCCCTGGGCTTTAAGTCAATGGCTTTCTGAATGTGTTTTTGGTTGTGAGGCTGAAATAAGAGATTTTAACTTAACGGCGGTTGCTAACAAGAGTCTAAACGTCATCATGCCCAACGTTAGCCACCTTTAGCTTAGCGGTGGATACGTGAATATATATAGAAAATACATCATCCCAGCACCACTCTACTTCTCAAGGCGTTAGGTCGACTTCAACATCTAAAATTAAACATTAAAAACCACAAATGTAGTTGGCTAATCTGCACGTTTGCAAAGATAAGTGGGCGGACACAAAGGGGGCGGAGCTTAACTAACTGACACCTTCCATTTAAACACAATCATCATGCACAAAAACCAAATCAATGACTTTCTGGCTGTTTTTTTGTTGTTTTTTTTTACAAACAGCTGCTTTTCAAACTCTCTTTTTTTTATGACGACTCATAACTCCTTTCCGTGGCGCTGTTTGAAAACAGGAGGGGGAGAATATATATCACGACAAAGGGTTAGGGTCTAACATCTGCTTATTGAACACCACCTGAAACTCAGAGTGTTTTATAACCGCTGTCAGAGGAAAATAGCAGATTTGTTCGCGTTAAAACACGTCCGGACACTTTCACCCCTTCCTACTTTATTTTTGATGACGATAAACAGGTGTTTTTGAGACAGGTGACCTATCATGAGAATCCAAATCACTCCGTATCATATCCGTCTGTAATTCCTGTAACTACTGTTGTTTTGATTACATTTGAAATAATAAACAATGTTGTTCAAATCAGAAATCACTCGAGCATCACTTGGCTCTGTTCTGCACAAATCCTGCAATACGAGGAGGAACCATTTCATGCATTCGAACGCGTTCTGCATTATTTACCCGCTGTAATTAAAAAAGCATGCCTAAAAAGTACATTTAAATAAGATTAGGACAGATTGTTCCCCACAGCTTCCTGCAGACACTTTTTAAACAGCGTCCTTTTAGACTTTAAATCATCTGAAAGAGAGCGAGACAGAGATGAATGTTTGCAGATAGCAGAGCTTCCCTGCAGATTGAGGAGATAACAACACGACAACAGAGAGGAGCGAAAGAGGGAATATTATCGACCGTTTAGAAGCATGAAAAGATATAGCGTGTGTGTGTGTGTCCTAGCATTACTATACTTGTGGGGACCTAAATCTGTTTACACAGTCACTTGTGGGGACTCGCCTCCCTTATGGGGACAACATGTGATGTTGTACGATCTGAAACACAGGTCAATAGCTCCCATATCAACTTATTGAATATATATATTGTATATTATATTAATATATTGCTGCTGTAAACCAAAGACTGTAATCAGGTATATGAAGGTGTAAACATGTCCATCACCTGAGAGCTGAGGCTCTGCTGCCATCTAGTGTCGACTAAAGGTAACTGCTCTTCATAAAGGAGCTCATAGTCAAAGTCCATTCATCAATTAGCAGAGAACTGTTTTAAAGGTTTATTAATCATTTAAAGCTTAATATTCCCTAGTTCCCAATTATGCTTTAATTGTTGGCTAATTAAAATATAATCTATTTTTATAAACTGGTGACGATTTAAAATAAATAAAAATGACTGTTCTAAATATATACATGTATATTTATTGTTGGTGATTTAAAATAAATTAATAAAACATTTAAAGAATAAATGTTAAAAAATATTGCTTTACGTTAATTAAAAAAACACTAAAATAATAATTATACAAATAAATAAATACAAATTAAATTGCATTTTTTTAAACTAAATTACTAAGAAATTAATGGATGATAAAGAACACGTTAAGCTTTATATATGTGTGTCAGTGCAGGTGTTTAAAATCCCCCGTTGAAGAAAGAGTCGTCACTTATTCAACGAACAGGAACCAACAGTTTGGTCAAACACATTTATTTGGACCGAAAAGAAGAACGTTTCACAACACAGTGCATTTCTAACGAGCAGATCTACTGGGACACATCAGCTGTTCTCTGAGCCCTTTAAAACAATGCAGAGACATTTGCCCTCTGACTCACACCTGAGGCTCCAGCAGCTCTCTCTCTCTCTCATTCAGTGTGTGTGTGTGTGTGTGTCTGACAGTATCTACAGCATTCCTACAATAACAAGCGTTCAGTCAGTTTTAAAGAGTTCATGCTTCAATGTTCAAAAAGCTCTTTATTTTCCTCATACTGCCTGTTTTCACCCTCTGTCTGAAACCAGAGCCCTTTACATGCATTAAAAGCAGAATAATGCCTCTTTAGATCCTGGGTTTCAGGAGCTTATTGCATTTCAAAGATACGTCAGTGACAAAGGATTCAGATTTAATGGTGAGAGACATTTCAAACCAGGACCTGATTGACACCACGTTAACTAAAGCTACACTAGAACACAAATACAGAGTTCGATCAACAGTTAGATTGGTTTTTAGGCCGGTTTGAAGCAGAGCGATGTGTTCAGGGCGTGACTCAGTTAGTCTGTGTGTGTGTGTGTGTGTGTGTGTGTGTGTGTGTGTGTGTGTGTGTGTGTGTGTGTGTGTGTGTGTGTGTGTGTGTGTGTGTGTGTGTGTGTGTGTGTGTGTGTGTGTGTCTCTCTCTCTCTCTCTCTCTTTAGGAGTTTACACACAGCTGATCAAAACAACACACAGATTATATTTCCTTTCTGCTCAGTTCTCTCACATGTTCTCGTGGACCTGCTTCATGGCCTTGGCAGCGAAGCCCATGTTCTTCAGGACCTCAGTGTTGGTGTGAGAGTTCTCCAGAGCCTCTCTCTGAAACTCGATGGTGGACAAAGTGCCGTCGATCTGCGTCAGCTGCTGCTCCAGACGCTTCTTCCTCTTCAGCGCCTGCAGGGCGGCTGGGACAGAAACAACATGGAGGATCGTGTTTTTATTTCTCAGACAGCGCCTAAATAAATACCTGGCTGTGCTGGGCGTCACAAAGACAACACAGGTTCCTCCCTTTGGTATGTATAGTCTGAGGTGATTCAACAGGCAGCGAAAGGTTTCACGAGAAAACATTAGATGAGACTCAACGTTGCATCCAACCAGAAAGTGCAAACACACATTTATTCCATTTAATATCGAATTATCCATTTCTTGCACAATAATATCCTGCATTATATTTGTATTTCCACGTGTATATATATTTTACTTTAATGCTATCTCGTAAGGTGCATGAGGTTTCAGTTAACTCGCATGAATACATATATTGGATAAGTTGCAGGTTATATATGTTAAGTACAGTTGTAATGAAAACACACAGTTTCCTGCACAGGGAAACTCGACTATAACAGTTTGTTTTTATTTAATCTCTTTCTCTCTCGTCACAAACCTTTTCAACTCGCTGCTGCTGACGAAACTGTTATCTTCAACAAATAAAGAAAATCACTGTAGGCCAAATATCTAATACCTGGATACAGAGGTGTAATGTAATCAAGTACTTTTACTAAAGTACAAGATCTGCATATACTTCTACTTTGACTCAAGATCTGAGTACTTCTACTTTCACTAAAGTACTTCTACCACCTTTGCCTGGCTATAAAAACTGAATCTGATATATTTAAACAACCTCTTTAATACTTCTTTACCTGTGTTGTTTCTCTTAAAACGTGTCCAAAATACTCCATATCCATGGGGAAGCCAAAAGTAAACAACTGCAGGTACATAAATATGTATATAAATATATGTGTGTGTTTATGTACCTCTCTTGTTTTTGGTGCCGTTCTTCTTGGCTATCGTCAGCTCCTGCTCGATCCTCTTCTCCAGGTAGTCCTGTTTCTTGGTCAGCATTTCCTCTGTCTCCCGCAGTTTGTGGATGGCCTCCTGCGGGGAAGGGCCTCCTCTGGACCGGCTGTATTTGGACTTCGAAGAGCCGGAAGAACCGGAGCTGGAGCTCCCTTTGAATAACTTCGCGATTTTACTCATTTTAGCAGCTTTTTGGGGTTAAAAAGCAGCTTCGTGTCTCCCAGCCTCGGTGTGCTGGTGTTGTTCAGACGGGTCGGTTGGGGCGGATTTTCCTGCTGGACTGCTTTCAATTCAAACCAGCCAGTGAACGCACCTTTCAACACACCTTTCACCATTACCTGAAGACGTCATGATACCTGACACCCTCCCCAGGTCGGTTAAAATTCAAAAATGTTTTGAACGTTTTTTTTATTGTGAGAACATTCTAATAAAAACACTCCTTATTAAATATAAAAGGGTAAATTATTACTCTTACACTGTTACAAATAAATATAAATCTTTCGTAGTGGGTGAAACTCCGTCACGTGGTTTCAACACACTTTTCACACCTGAGTGACGTCATGACACCTGACAGATCGGTTACAATAAAAAAAAAGTTTCGAACGTTTTATTTTTATTTAAGGTAAGAAAATATTACTAATTTGTTTTTATTATTAAATAAAAAGGGGTACGTTAATACTCTTACACTATTAAAAAGTAAATTAAAATAAATCAGTTGTAGTCACATCCATGGTCCAGAGCCCTCTAGGGCTCTGCCATGGTCGGGTCGTATTGGGTGAAACTCGGTCACGTGGTTTCACTGCTGGGGTTGACATATGAGGAAGTTTTCAGACTGTTAAAACATGTCTTCAGATCAGTCGACAATATAAAGACGATTTAGTGTTGTTTTCTTTCTCATGTTTATTATTATTTAGTTATTTGTATTTTTTTTCTCCTGCCATTCTCCTGCTCCACTCTCATCCAGCAGGTGGCTGTATTGCGCCTATCGCCTACTGTCATTAAACCACCGAAGAAGAGAGAAGCGTTGTTTACTTCATCAGCTGTTTTCCACTCGCTTTGTACTCATGGCTGAATTTAACATCGGGAAGCATTGCCGGATCGATTCCTGCCACCAAAACGGTGTGTATCCTCTCCTCTCACTTACAATAAGATCATTTATTACCATGTGTTGTTATTCTGGAGTTGTGTTGAGAAGAAACACAATATAACGGCTCTTTAGCTTCGTTAGAATGTGAGCTAAGCTAACTAACCGGCGTTAGCGTTAAATGTTTGGTAAACTAATTTATTCTAACCAAACTGTTATAATTAGCATAAAACACCAGCGTACAGTTGTTATAAGGTATACAATATGGTTGAGTAAGTGTTTGGAATTAGTAGTTGTGTTTCTGAGGCTATAACATTAGTTTGAGAATATGATTTAGAAGTAAACAATCCCTCTTTGTAATGTTTACTAGTCTCCTTATGCTAACTCAACTGGGAAACATATACAGTATAGATCACACTAAAGTATGATTTAATGTTAATTGTTTTAGAATTATTTCTTTAAACCTTGTGTTGATAAACAACGACTGTTTAGCTTCCTTAGCGTTACATGTTTGGTAAACTAGCTCCTAACTAGCATGCTAACTGCTAACCAAACCGTTATAATTGGCATCAAACGCCAACGGTACAGTTGTTATAACTTAAACAATATGGTTCGCAAAGTGTGTTTAATTAGTCATTAGTAGTTGTGGTACTTTCTGAGGCTATAACATTAGTTTACGGATATTATTTAGAAGTAGAGAATCCCTCTTTGTAATGTTTACTAGCCTCCTTAGGCTATTTCAATCACTATAACTCAACTGGAAAATATCTACAATATAGATTAAACTAAAGTATGATTTGATGTTCATTGTTTTAGGATTATTTCTTTAATATCCACCATCCTGTAATGTCAAAGCTATGCTCTTTTGCTTTTAAATATGTGCTGCAATCTGAAGTCAAATGATCCATAGTTTGAGTTTCTCATTTTCTTAAAAAAAGATCTGTAGTATTTTTTATTTGAATCATCCAGAATATTTGAGATTATTTTGTTTGTATTTTTTACATTTTATATAATATTTGTATTTCATTTGTATTTGTTAATTCTCTTTTCCACTTTTAAAAAAATATTTTAAGTATTGTATTCCTCAAAGTATCTATCTCTAAATGAACAGGTGCATCCAAAAGGAAAACAGACTAGATATAAAAATACAGATTACATACAAACAGTGGCTTTCCATGTGTTCTTTAATTATTCTTAACAGTGTAGGTAGTGCGCTGTCCACTGTATTGATCTTTTACATGTCTAATATATGTAATGTAAAGAGCTTTGAGCACTGGAAAAGAGCTCAAATAAATACCATGACTTATTATTATTATTATTAGTAAAGTAAAGAAACTCATTAAGCGGTTCGCTTTCATAAATGTAGATTTATGTGTATAAAATGTACATACAATAAGAAGAGTTATTGACGAACAAGTGGTCTTGAGGTTAGTCTGAGGGGGTTCATACATTTACGGACGCATGTGGCTCAGTGGATAGAGCATTGGTGTTGGGATCAGGGGGAGCACAGGTTCAAACCCCACTGCAGTCAGCATGTCGTTGTGTCCCTGAGACACTTCACCCCAAATTGCACATGTGGGGATTGTCCATAGTATTGAGTATGTAAGTCGCTTTGGATAAAAGCGTCTAACATGTGATGTAATTTAGCAGAAATCAACATGAGCTTTTTTTTCCGAAACTAAGGCCCCGTCCACACGGAGACGAAAACGGACCGATGTCGATACCAAAAAAGTCTTCCGTCCACACGGAATCGGCTCAATAAACGTGTCCGTCTACACGAGACGATGGAGACGCTGTAGCAGTGGCGAGACGTCAGGGCCCTCTAGGCCCTCTGTGAGGGCCTAAGATATTCTACAAAATAATATTTAAAAACATTAAAGAAATATATATATTTTTTAAAATATTTGTTTTAATATTTTTTATATATATTTTTTTAGTTATATTTTTCATTAGTTTTACCAAAATAACTTGATTTAATTGTATTTAAAATAACATTTCCAAGAAAAATCCTTTCGAATTCTGCCT